TTCATTTCAAAATTCAATTATTTTCATAAATAAAAGTATTCGTCACAAGAATTCATTTATTTTCATAAATATTAAAATTATTTTTCGGGAATTCAATTATTATATATTTTCAAAAATTTTTAATAAAATTTATTTCAAAATTCAATTATTATTTTTATAAATATTAAAATTCTTTTCAGGAATTCAATTATTATTTTTGAAAATTTTACTAAAATTCATTGCGAAATTTTAATTATTATTTTATTCATAATTAAATTTATTAATAAAATTTTTAATAAAATTCTTCATAAGAATTCAATTATTTATTTAATAGTTTTATTAATTAAATTCCTTATTAAATTTTTAGCAAAACTGATTTTTCTTTATAAATAATAAAATTCTTTGTAGAAATTCAATTATTTATTCAACAGAATTTTAATTAAATTCTTTATTGAATTTTTAGCAAAAATGAATTTTCTTCATAAATATAATAAAATTCTTGGCAAAAATTAAATTAATTAAAAAAAATTTGAATAAAATTCTTCATAACGATTCAATTATTTATTTAAGGGGCCGTTCAAAAAATATGTAACGCTATTTTTCGGAAATTTGGACCCCCCCCCCCTCCCTCCCCCATGTAACGCAATGTTGTATACATTAGCGCCATTTTTTCTGCTGACCGTAACAAATAGCTTGACCCCCCCTCCCCCCTAAAGCGTTACGTATTTTTTGAACGGCCCCTATTTGAATTTTAATTAAATTCCTTATTGGATTTTTACCAAAAATGAATTTTCTTTATAAATAATAAAATTCTTCGTAGAAATGCAATTATTCCCAAAAATTTAAATAAATTTTTCTTTAAAGAATTCATATTATATTATATGTTTATAAATAATAAAATTCTTAGCATAAATTAAATTAATTAAAAAAAATTTTAATAAAATTCTTCATAAAAATTCAATTATATTAATTCAATATAGAATTTTAATTAAATTCCTTATTATTGTATTTTTAGTAAAAATGAATTTTCTTTATAAATAATAAAATTCCTCGCAAAAATTTGACAAAATTGTAACAAAAACAGGTTAATGTATACACTATTCAATTTTTTTTTCTTTAATTATTTCATTTTGTCAGTATATATTATATATTAATATATAAATATGCTGAAAAATTAAATTGATGAGAAGAAACGAAGACAGGCGTTATGGACTTTCGGTGGCCGAATCGAATTTCACGATGGGAATGAGTGAGTAAAGAAGAAGAATATAAGAAGAAGTTGGAAGCAACTGGGTGAAGAAAAGGAAGGATGGGAAGCGTGAAGGGGGAGGGGAGGGGAGTTAAGGTTATTGGTCATTTTTTCTTGGTGATTTCAGCGTGAATAATGCGACAGAAGCGATACCCCTCTGAAACAGGTAGGTGGATTTAGATTGTAGGTGCACTTTTCTATTTACACGAAACTCACACGAAACGACGCGACGATGGATTTCATATATATAGTCTATAGACATGCGCAGAATCCATCAAAAGAATAATAATAATAGTGAATTCTCTTCGCAAAAATAATATTAAGAAATAAAAAGGATAAAAAGTTTTTCGCTTTCTAGGAACATAATCGTTCGTGAAACTATATTCTATTTAGGGCTTTAGAACCCTTTCTTCGCTTCGCGACACATATATTGTAAAAAGACCCATACAGACAGTAAATAAAAAATAAATATAAATACTATTATTCACGGAGTGCTATTATTTTAAATAATAGCTCTGTGCTATTATTTTTTCACTCCTTTTTTTAAAAATGAAATTCATTTCCTTTTTAATGTTTTAATGTATATGAGATACCGATAATAAAGATTAAACGCACTCGAAGGAAAATCAGGTCTTCAAATAAAGATTTCAATGTGTTAAAATGTTTATATATATATGAGCGAGAAAGTTTACTCACAAGGTAAAGAATCTTATCTAGTTTGCACGATTTTATGATCGCGCACGTGGCACGATTGACTTTTATTTAATATATATGTAGTATAGTTATAATTCCTATATGAACACTGTCCCATGTTAAAAGAACGAGTCATATATGGTAATAAAAATCTTGACAAAAGTCAATTCATCGTTCCACTCAACCGGAAAAATATTATATATGTGAACAAACGACGGGAATCATGTCTCGTTGCGCAGCGTTAATCGTATATATATATGTTTTTTATGATTCTTTTTTCATGTAGGTAATTTTTTTTTTTTTTTTTTTTTTTTGTGTAGGAATTTCAGTTATACGCTTAAATGTCATTTCAACATTTTCAATTTATTCTCTATTTGACATTTCTCGTTTCTTTCCCCTGGAAGTAAAGTGTATTACTGTGCCTGTACTAGGAGTTGAATAAAATGGAATTGAAGAAAAAAATTAATTCTGTAATTCATGAATTTTACATATATAAATGTTATTGAAATGTTTATAGTTTAATGGACTGAAAAATAACAAAGACTTGATTCATTTTTAATTTCGTTTTGATATAAAAATTTTATAATAAATTAACATTAATAATCGACTGTCGAATATAAAAATTCCATTTTTAAAAAATTTCATTAATATTAATCATTTAAATACCTAAATTCATATAAATTTTAAATTATATTTCAAATTTTCAAAAAATGTAAAAAACAATATTGTAAAGAGAAAAAATATAAATACTTGATTCGTAAAAATTTGTTCTTTTTCAAGTAATTAAAATTGTAAAATTGTGCAAAAAAAAGAAAAAGAAAAGATGTAAGAAAATCAAGATGAACCCAAGTAAAAAATAGGGGGTTGGCGCGCGAATATATAAAACAAACGGCTGAAATATAATATTGCTATATGAAAGAGGATACACGATATTGTCATCCATTGTCACCTTAGGCCACTTAAGTGAAACAAAACTCATCACTACTATTTTTCTTTCTCTTTCTTTTTCTTTTTTTCTTCAATTTTCCACTATATGTACATTCAAGTTTTGGAGTAATTTATGTACAAATACTTAAAAATAATATTAAGAAAGTTTGTAAAAATAAAAAAACAAAGAACATAAGTATATATGTATATATACATATGAAGACCTTTAAAATCTCAAGGTCGGATGTTGAAGACACTCTAAATATTAGATTTTATTCTTAAGTAAACGAAAGCAAGAGAGTTCCATCAACTGAATACACTGCGACGAGGAAACCACGAGAGATATTATATGTATACGAGATTCCTCTCTTCCTAGATAAACAAAAAAAGGGTCCCTTACCCTTTAAAATTAATTTTTAAAGAAGAAAAATTAAATTAATTATTTAGAAAATTTTTCGAAATTTTTAATATTTTTAATTATTTATAATTAAATTATTACGCCCCTAAGATAATTCAATTATTTTCAAAATCTAGTATTTTCATTAAATTTCTCAAAAGAATTCAATTATTAAAAAAAAATTTATAAAATTCATCCAAAATTCAATTATTTTCATAAACAATAAAATTTCCACAGTGATTCAAGTCTTTTTAAACATTTTAATAAAATTTTTCTCATTAATTCAATTATTTTCATAAATAATAAAATTCTTCTCATAGAAATTCAATTATTTTTGAAAATTTTAATAAGATTCTTAGCAACTATTCAATTATTTTTATAAATAATAAAATTCATCGCAGGATTTTAATTATTTTTTGAATACAATTTTACAGGAATTGCTGAAAAAATTTAATTATTCTTAGAAATTTAATTTCAATTCCTCGAAAAAATCAATTATTTAAAAAAAGTTTTATTCCAAATTCTTTGGAAGAAGTTAATTATTTACAAAAATATTAGAATTTTTCACAAGAATTCAATTATTTTTAAATATTTTAAATTTTTAATAAAACTGATCGAATGAAATCAATTACTGTAAATATCATTTTAATTAAATTTTTTTTGAAATAATTCAATTATTCTTTTAGATTTCAATTAAATTCTTCATGAAAATTAAAGTATTTACATAAATAATTCTTCGAAAGAATTCAATTATTAAAAATAAATAACAAAATTATTCCTGAAAATTCAATTATTTTGGAGGATGTTAACAAAATTCTTTGGAAAATTCAACTAATTTCATAAATAACAATATTCATGGGAAGAATTCAATTATTTTTTAAAGTAATAAATCTTTTCTTCTAAATTCAATTATTTAAAAAACTTCTAATAAAATCGTTTGCAAGAATTTAATTATTTAAAAAAATTTGTTGTAAAATTCTTCGTAAGAATTCAATTCTTTTTATGAATAATAAAAATTTCTAAGGAAATCAATTATTTAAATTAGAATTTACAAAAAAATTAGTCAAAAGAAATCACATCTTTAAAATTTTTTATAAAAAGTCGTCAAGTTTAATTTTTTGATAGCTACTTTTATTTTTTAGTTTGAAAGCTATACTTTTTGCTAGTTTTTTCAAATTAATTATCTAGTGCGAAGTCTGTACTAATGATTTGCAAATAACTTCTACTACTTTCAGTATGATATTATGCTATAATCATAAATGAAGAACTGATTTATAAAAGTACGCCATCAATATAGATATTGTGCATAGCTTATGCTTTTAATATGCTGCTAAAAAAAAAAAGATGGAAGAGAGGGGGGAGAGGGGGGAGAAAAAAAATGTTAATAACCACATTCATCAGAGGCAAAAAGCCTCCCACCAGGATATTCCTTTCATTCGGAATCACCAGGGCCTGAATTATCATGCACAGGTGGTTTTGCGAATGCTCATATTGCGGGTCCCTGCGCGCGTGAGCCTCCAACTATATAGACGTAGTACGTTATGGGTCGTGTAAATATAACTCAAACTAAACCATAAAGTGAGTCAACTTTTCAGTCAACTTTCTTCATAATATTACAATTATTGCTATACTTTGGGAAGAAAAAAGGAAAAGAAGGAAAAAAAAGGAAAATTAAAGTAGAAAATAAAGAAGAAAAAAGAAGGGTTGAAGAAAGAGGGAAAAAGAAAGACAAAGAATGAAGAAAAGGAAAAAAAGAAAAAGAAAGAAAGATTAAGTGAAAGAGAGATAGAGAAAGAAGATTTTCGCCATGTATGAGGGAGAAAGAAAGAAAGAAAGAAAGAGAGAGAGAAAAGCAAGGTAGGTAGGATCGTAGAGGTAACATCGTAGAGAGGCTGGGACTTGATCCAAAAGGTAGGAGCACTTGGTTAGTGAGACCAGTCCATCGCGGGCCCTCCTTTCGTTCAAACGCGTTTACTTTCCTGTGCCACTAATTTTTCACTTCCCTCATCGTCTTCATCATCATCAACCATCCCCCCAACCCTTATATCTACCAAAAAAACAATATTGCCAATTTTTCCAAAAATATAAAATCACATACCAATTTAATAAAAATTACAAACAATGATGAGAAATTCACCCGAGAATTTAACAACTATACCCCTAATTTAGCAATCCGTTTTTGTGAAGAATTAATTAAATGTGTCAAAAATACGACGAAATGATTGAAAACAGACAGAGATAAGGAGCAGATACAATAAAGAGAGAGAAATATAATAAAAAATGAGAATGTAATAAACAATAGAGAAAAAGAGATACGATATAGAAATCGAAACATTGTCAAAATTTTAAAGAACCGATAATTACTGATTATCAAAAATTTTAACACCATCGTGCTGATATGATGTGTGCTAGATTGATATACAAATGCTATACTGATAAGTAAAGAACTTTTTGGATACCAGTGTTTTTTGTTTTTTTAAACTAGTGCTAAATTTTAACAATATCAAGAAATTATTTCTTGTTATATGCCAGGATTTTTAGTTTTTTGTGTTTTTAGATTAGTTCTAGAATTTTGTGTTTGTTGTCACATCAATTTCTGCATTTGGATGACGGACTTAATTAATTAATGTTTGAACATTAAAATTACTTTGGAGAACATTAAGCAGTACTTTGGAGAACATTAAACATTACTTTGGAGAACATTAAACATACTTTGGAGAACATTAAACATACTTTGGAGAACATTAAACATATACTTTAGAGAATCTTAAATATACTTTGGAGAACATCAAATTATGTCAACACTGAGAAAAATCAAATGTGAATTTCAAAATCAAGAAGCTTGTTAAGAATTCATTAGGAGAGAAAAGAGATCAGAATTGCTGGTTCTAGATTAGCATCATTTTATTAGCTGTCGAGATTAGTGCCACAAGAGAAACGGGATTAGTGTCAAAGTAAATGTTGAGATAAATATCGAGAAAAACGTTTCGGATGTATAATGTAGTGTAAATGATGATTTCTGCGAACTAATCTTTCTTATTCGGATTTATTGATTATAAGTTGAATTCATTTGGGAAATTTAAAGTGCGCGGTGACTAATATAATGACGAGAATGATTGAGCCATTAGCGATTCAAAAATTTACCAAATTAACAAGTTTCAAGAATTAATAAATACAAATTTTCGAATTGATTGATTCAAATTCTGCTTTGGCAAATTATTAGCAACTTGATGAATTTTTGAATTCGGCATAGTTGAACCATCATTTGATACAATTTTTGAATTGATGCATTAACGGATTTTCGAATTAAAATCGACGAAATGAATTTTTGAATTGAGGAATAGATGCGAGAATACTTCTGAATTGGGGAATTGTTTCCTGAACTGGAAATAATTAATAATTGATGGAAAGTGGTGTAATAAAAGTATACAAATGACGGCACTTATTCGTTGGATCTTCGAATCGACATTTACGATAAAGGTCAGAGATATCAATACCCGGAAGTAAGGTTGTTGGGCACGCCGCCGATACTTTCGAATAGTCCGTCGATTAGCAGCACTCGTCTGATAAAACTTTTTTTTCGGTTAATACCCAAAAAGAGGAGAATTTAATTGGAATCAAAATCATCTGTTTGGTAATTAATCATACCATCATCATTATTAGCATCTTGGTCGACATTATCATCGCACCAACATTGTTGGCATCTTCAGCATCGTCACAATCTTCAGTATTACCACTACCATCATCATCATTATTAGCATCGTCACATTCTTCAGTATTATCATCATCATCATCGTCATAATTATCAGCATTGGCAGTATCATCATCATGGGCGATTTACTATCATCAAAGATTTAAAGAAGGAATTAAAAAAGGAATTAAAAAAGAAATTAAAAAAGGAATTAAAAAAGTCAATTAAAGAAGTACAACAGACATCTTGATAGAGGGATCTGCTTTAATCGGAAGGGGATTCGGTGGTTGTCTTCCGGTTTGATTGTTTCGATCCTTCGACCCAGAACCAGTGGGCCGTCAATATACAAGCAGTCTCGCCGGCTTTTGTCTCACTCTTTCTCTTCTCCTTCTTTGATATCGTGTTCCGTCGATCGACTTACCGGATCAGATTGGATCGTCTTCCATTTCTTTGTGGGATCTCAATGACCTTCTTCATTTCAAAAGATACTTATGGATAAACATTTTTTTTTGAAAGTGACTTTTGTGACACAGTGAGTGCTATTTTCAATCAAAGTTTTGATTTTCGGAGATTTCAACGCCGGGTTTGCAGAATGAAACAAGAGAGAGTGAAAATTTAGTGACAAATCAAATGCTTGTGATGTAAGAGATGCGTCCTGGTGACTTCGCGGTAAACGCGATAGCCCTTTTAATTCTGGGACTGATACAGGGACCTCGCCAAAACAGGTAATAATATTTTTCTTTTAGTAATTGTTTGTAATTGTATATATATGTAACGATCATGTTATTGATGCATATGTCATGTCATTGATGCAATGTTCAGTTTTTGAATGAAGAGTTATTGAAATATTTTAATGAAGCAATATATATAATTCTTCTCTAATGATCCATTTATTCATTACTGTCAGATTACTATCCGCGGGCAACATTCAGAAAAATTGTAACGTACATTATTAATGGTGCATTAACAAAAATATAACTTCTTGCTCTAATCAATTTCATGGTTCTGCGATGATTAATGAACAAATGACAAAGAGATTCATGATTCATTTAAAAAGAGAAAAAGGATTTAAAGTTAAACGCACAAAAACTATGTAATCTCTTTCATTCTTGAAATCTTTCAGGACAATTAGCATGACGCAATTTGTTTCGCGCATCTATGTAACATTAAGAATATTTTATTGATATTTTGAGTTTACGTTAAGAATTTGTAGCCAGAATTAATAAAGTAAAGCTATAGCTTTACTTTATTAATTCTGGCTTTAAGCTATAGCTATAGCTTTTTAATTCTGGCAAGTTCTACAAATTTTTAACGTAAATTCTATAATAGCTTCACCATTAATTCTGGCTACTATTGTAGTTTCGGTACACTGTACGGGTTAGCTCTAAACTGCGAATACAAATTTCCCTCATAGGTCACTAATAGCTTATCACCAAAGGTGGTTAATGCTAACCAAAAAAGTGTCAGTAACAAAAATATTATCTCCATCTAAAAATAAAGATAACCCCCATCAGAATTTTAATAAACAGATTAACCATCATCATATATGGCTAATTTATTATTCCAAATTTCACGACTCCTGTGTGGTGCAGCATTTTGAAGGAACAATGTCAGAAGGGGTTATCAGCCTAAATTCCACGAACGATGTGATTTGAGAGAAATTTCTTTTTATTTCTATATGGACACAAATGTCAGGAATGATTGTCTCGCTCAGTGAAGTGACTGAAAATTCCTAAAGTTGACAAGAGAGAGAGAGAGAGAGAGACTGCGAGAGGGAGAAAGAGACAGAAATTTAGGGGGAGTTTTGAAGATGTACACGTTTATATTTATGAAGAGTCCCTAACAGAAGCGGGGGCCCATGAGAATAAGGCCCCCACTTGCAATTAGGCCCAACCAAGCGAACCTGGCCCATTGGCTCGAGGCTGATCCGAGGACCACCTTGGACTCGATATTCGATTTCGAGATAGCAGGTATATAGGCAACTATCGTCGGCACGACACAGAAATCGAAGCTTCACGATCAGCTCGATGTATTTATAAAAGGTCGATGAATTTCGCGAAGGGCAGAAAGAGAGTGAGAGAGAGAAAGAGAATTCGGCAAATGGCGAGCCAAACGGTTCCCACTATATAAACAGACAGACCAAATCGCGTCGACGAAATGCGACACACGACGTCAACGTCTAAACTCCTCCTCTATATGGGAAAAAGGAGACATCGAAGAAGGAAATTCTGGAATTCATTTAAGGTTTCATTCTCTCAGACATACTGACAATATCTATTCCTAACGATTTAAGAAACATCACGCAGTAAATTTATGGCCCCTAATACATATTTATCCACTCAATTTATGTTATTTTTTTTAGCAAATTTTTTTTTATAATCAGTTTTACTCTAACTTAGAGGAAGGGGAATTTTTTGTTTCCTAAAATTTTACATTCTTACCAGCTACGCTCAAAACTCGTTAATAATTCTGTTAAATGTCACTATAAATAATTCGTCAAACAGTTCGAAAGGTAGTACTATTTTTCTAGGAAAAAAAACGAAATTTTCAAAATATAAAGAAAATGTTTTTTTCAAAAAAGTAAAAATAGGCAAAACATTGAATTATATCTAAAAAAAAGAAATTTCTTATACTCAAAAGTTGAGTATGAGACTAAGTACAGAGAAAGGAGAAGAAAAAAAAGAGAAAATTGAAATAATGGACAAAAAACAGCATTAAAGAAATTTTTCCAAAAAAAGAAAATCATGCAAAAAATATAGTTAAACCTTATTTAAACTGTTCGTTAAGTACGCTTAAAAAGTGCGTCTTATAAATCTCTATAAAGTACAAAAAATAAATCGATATTTCGAAAAAGAATTTCAGAAAAAATTGTCAAAAACAATTTTTCCAAAAAACGGAAAAAAAACTGTTTAAACTTTTTAAAAAATATTCGATAATGGCTTAAAAGTTGCGTCTTATAAATCTCTATAAAGTGCAAAAAATAAATCGATATTTCGAAAAAGAATTTCAGAAAAAATTGTTAAATACAGTTTTTCCAAAAAACGAAAAACGGAAAAAAAACTGTTTAAACTTTTTAAAAAATATTCGATAATGGCTTAAAAGTTGCGTCTTATAAATCTCTATAAAGTGCAAAAAATAAATCGATATTTCGAAAAAGAATTTCAGAAAAAATTGTCAAAAACAGTTTTTGCAAAAAATGAAAAACGAAAAAAAAACTGTTTCTACTTTTTAAAAATTATTCTAAAATAACTTAAAAGTTGCGTCTTATAAATCTCTATAAAGTGCAAAAAATAAATCGATATTTCGAAAAAGAATTTCAGAAAAAATTGTCAAAAACAGTTTTTCCAAAAAATGAAAAACGAAAAAAAACTGTTTAAACTTTTTAAAAATTATTCTATAATAACTTAAAAGTTGCGTCTTATAAATCTCTATAAAGTGCAAAAAATAAATCGATATTTTGAAAAAGAATTTCAGAAAAAATGGTCAAAATCAGTTTTTCCAAAAAATGAAAAACGGAAAAAAACGGTTTAAACTTTTTAAAAAATATTTGATAATGGCTTAAAACTTGCGTCTCAATAGACTTTGTAAGGTGCAGAAAAAATTTATGATTTTAAAAAAAAATTTTAGAAAATATTGTCAAAAAAAGTTTTTTTCGAAAAATGAAAAAAATGTTAGTTAAACTTGTAAAAATTATTTAACAACAGATTAAAAGTTGCGTCTAAATAAATTCTGTAAAATGCAAAAAAAATTTGATTTCTAAACAACAATTTCAAAAAATAAAATTAAAAATTGTTTTAAAAAAATAAAAAATATAAAAAAAATTATTTACATATTTAAAAAAATCTTGCGATTGAAAGTTTTTATCGATACACAATATATATATATATGCTTTTTCAATGTATTAAAAAAATTTTAATCACAAGCATCCTTTTTTTATTTTATACATATGCTACAAAATTAAAAATTCAGCATCGCATATTTTAACGAAAAAAAAAATTCGCGTAATAAATAAAAACTTAAATCATGAATGAAAAAAAAGAGTTTGTTCGCTAAGTGGTAATAATAGCCGTTAATTATCAACCAAATTTGGTTTAGCGTAGCTAATAATTGCGAAAAGAACAATTAGGGACCGGAATTTATGGCCAAGGTAACGTTGAATGCGTGCTCGAGGTACGTCACGCCTCGTCACGAGTAAATGCCCCAACGTTATGCGCAATTATTTCGCGAGCATACCACACTATTTATCCTCACAATAAAACTCAACTTCAGCGGTCGAGGTCGTCCAATAGGAGACCAAGAATTTCAAAAAAAAAAAACTTTTTTCATAAATATATATATAAGTTATTCAATTGATGTAATTACAAAAAAAATGAAAATTCCTCTTAATTCACATATACGAATAAAATTTAAATGACTCTTGAAAAGAGAGTGGAAAGAATATTAAAAACTGGTGGCGATTTGCTACCTTCCTGTTTCTTTTTTATTTTCAGATTTGAATCATCATAACATTTATTTAAGTGTCATTGCGAAATTATAATTAACTGTTATAAAATTTGTGAGTTATCGTAAAAGAAGAAATCTTTTAAGAATCCCAATAAAACAATAAAACTTTTTAGGGCCCTTTTAGCGATATTTTAGTCTTCATTTACTTTTGACGATTTTTTCACTGTTAAATTCCAATTATATGAAGAGTTTTTTTTTATTTTAATGGAAAATAATTAGTAAAAAATACAAAATTAAAGTACGTAGTAAATAAAATGACATAAATTTGCCCCATGCGCAAAAATGGTGTAAAACGTTTTCTCGTGCGCAGAAGATGCGCAATAGATCCTTATTGCTTATTTCGTTGCGCAATGCTGCGCAGTATATCTTTTCTGGTACAGTTCGCAGCGAATATGAAAAATTTCGCTTATTCCTTTAATATAAAGTGAAAAAAAAAATTTATTGACTCACCAAAAAGGTGAGGACTTTATTTTTTGAAGGGGGTTTGAAAAAAAAATTTTTGATTTAATCGAGAATGTTTGCTACACTAATGTGCTTCTTTTCGGTCGTCTTACATGTCTTGTAACAAGCGTTAATAAATGCTACCGTAGGGACTTTTTGAAAGCAGAATGAAGACACGAACAACAGTCCCGAACCGAACGGGGCCCCCAATGATGGGGGTAATACCTACTCTCCTCCCAGCAGGGGGCCTCGCCGCCTTATTTAACACCGGATCTTAATTTAATGCCGCTGGTAGTCCTCAAGACTTATTCGTTTCTTTTAAAAAAAAAATCCCCCGGATACAAACACTCTTTTGTTATTAAGACGTAAACGCCAAATTTATACTCGAAATTCATTTTATTAAATAGTTAATAATTAATAATTAATTTAATTTTTATATTATCATACGATTCTAAATAATTTAAATTATTTCACTTAAATTCTAACCTCAATAATGAACGAATTAAGTACGAAACAATAACATTTTTTAGGGCCCTTTTAGCGATATTTGGTTTTTATATGAAACAAGGTACAGTTTTTTTGATATTTTAATGGAAAATAATTAGTAAAAATAAAAATGAAAGTGTAGTAAATAAAATAACTTGGAACTGTTTATAAATTTGCTCCATGCGCAGAAATTGTGTGGAACGTTTTCTTGTGCGCAGAAGATGCGCAATAGATCCTTATTACTTATTTCGTTGCGCAATACTGCGCACTAACTAGAAAGCTTACTATTGGTGGG